TGTATGTCGTGAACATCTCTAGCAGTATTGCAGCAGCGTGGCTTGGCACACTAGTCTTGGTCATCTTCGTTGTCAAACTCCTCATAGAAACCCAGACATTTTTTCTTGTGCATCTACGAAACCATCATATTCAGAACATGCATCGAACTCTCGGGGCTCCTCGTCATCATCACCTTCTTCTTCTTCATCATCATCATCCTTCGCCTCCTCGTGGGGAGCCAAAGCCCTCGCAGGAGCCTTGCACCTGGGCACCCGGTTAAGGGAAAGTTTAGGGTTTAGGGTGTGTTTGGGGTTAAGGATTTGGGGTTTGGGTTTAGAGGTTTTTGGTTTGGGCTTTGTAGGGGCTTTGAGACAAGCTATAGTTGTACATGTTTCGCATGCAAAGAAACACGGAAGGCATGTCACGTGTGCGTGTGCATCTCAGTACACAATATGTGCAGCCAATAGTGTGTGCTACATGCTTGTGCCTCACCCAAACCGAACCCCATGGTAGGATACATGCACCGAGCTTGTCGGCTTCTCGGATACCAGAACAAAGTATTATAATCGATGCAAAGGAGGATCGTCGGCTTCGGAGGGAAAGCTTTCTTGATGTCCTCAGACACCTTCTCCCAGTCCATCTTGCCCTTGTCGAAGTCGTGCATCCCCTTCGTGTGCATCTCCAGGAAGCATTCTCGGCACACTTTAAAGTCCAGCTCGTTCTGGTTCATATTCATCTGTTGATAACAGTCGCAGAACGTCGCCATAATGTTCATTGCGATCTGGGCCGTCATGTCGTCTTTCACAACAATCTGGCATTTCTGTCGCCAAGACGATTTCAAGTTGAACCGGTCCTCGCGGCACTCCAAGCTCACTATGGGGCTGCACTTCCCCTGCAGCTTATACTTTGCCCTGATCGTCTCCAAGATGTAATCCTGCACCGGTTTCGGCGTTTTCGCCGCCGCCTTCTTGGCGGCATTGGGCAGCTTTTCTCCATGCGAACCGAACTTCGCGAGGTCGGACGGGATCAAGCCTGGAGGGCTCCACTCCAAGCCGTCTGCGAACTCCACGACCACGGTGCCGTCCTTCTCCCTTGGCTCTGTGGATGTCTCCGGACCAGCAGCCATCTGGCGAAGAGCTCTGCCGAGTTCCTCGCACCACCATATGTCGCCAAGCTTGCGGCTCGCCTCGTTCGTCTGCATGATCGACTTCTTGGGCTTCTGGGGCGGGTCGTCCTTCGGCGTCTTCGGCGGGTCGTCCTTCGGCGTGATCGTCTCCTTGGGCTTCTTCGGTGGGTCGTCCTTCTTGCGTCTCTTCACTGGGCCGTCATCGGTCGTCTCGTTGGGCTTCTTCGGGGGGTCGTCCTTCTTGGGCTTCTTCGGTGGGTCGTCCTTCTTGGGCTTCTTCGGTGGGTCGTCCTGCGTGATCGTCTCGTTGGGCTTCTTCGGCGGGTCGTCGTGCGTGGCCAGCTGTCCGCTGGCTCTCGCAGTCTTAGCAAGAAGCTTCGTTAGTGCATTTTTTCAAGACCCAGAAACTATTTATGAAGATTATGCTTTGCTTTATAGAAATACGAGGAGTTTTATTTGTAGGATTATTTGGGGCTTCGGTTTAGGGGCCTTATGAGATTTTGCTGAAAGCCAGGACCCAGACGGCCTGCGGCTGTGGCGTCATCGACAAAGCCACTGCACCTGGGGACAAGTGACTTTAAGGTTTAGGGTTTAGGG